CATCTTTTGATATGCTTATTTGCCACCTGTATATCTTCTTTGGTGAGGTGTCTGTTACGGTTTTTGGACCCTTTTTTATTCAGGTTGTTTGGTTTCTTATTGTTGAGTTTTAAGAGTTCTTCGTATTTTATGGATAACAATCCTTTATCAGATATGTCTTTTGCAAATATTTTTTCCCATTCTGAGGCTTGTCTTTTCATTCTCTTGACATTGTCTTTTGCAGAGCATTAAATTTTAATGAAGTCCAGCTTATCAATTATTTATTTTATGGATTGTGCCTTTGATTGTATCTAAAAAGTCATCGCCATACCCAAGGTCATCTAGGTTTTCTCCTGTGTTATCTTCTAGGCGTTTTATTTATTTATTTATTTTGTGAGGAAGATCGGCCCTGAGCTAACATCCATGTTAATCCTCCTCTTTTTGCTGAGGAAGACTGGCTCTGAGCTAACATCCATTGTTCTAGGCGTTTTATAGTTTTATGTTATACGTTTCGGTCTGTGATCCATTTGGAGTTAATATTTATGAATAGTGTAAGGTCCGTGTCTAGATTGTTGTGCATGTGGATGTCCATTTGTTCCAGCACTTTTTGTTGAAAAGACTATTTTTGCTCCATTGTATTGCCACCTTTACTTGTCAAAGATTAGTTGACTGTATTTATGTAGGTCTATTTCTGGGCTCTGTATTCTGTTCCATTGATTTATTTGTCTGTCCTCTCGCCAATAGCACATTGTCTTGAATACTGTAGCTTTTTAGTAAGTCTAACTAGGGTACTGTGGGTTCTCCATCTTTGTTCTTTTCCTTCAATATCGTGTTGTCAATTCTAGGTCTTTTGCCTCTCCATGTAAGCTTTAGAATCCGTTTGTCTATATCCACAGAATAACTTGCTGGGATGTTGATTGGGATGGCGTTGAATCTGTAGGTCAAGTCGGAAAAACCTGACATTTGGATGGTATTGAGTCTTCCTATCCATGAACATGGAATATCTCTTCATTTATTTAATTCTTCTTTGATTCATCAGAATTCTGTAGTTTTAAATTTCTGTCTGATGATTCTAACATCTTTGCCGTATCTGAGTCTGGGTCTGATGCTTGCTCTGTTTCTTCAAACTGTGTTTTTTGCCTTTTAATATGCCTTGTAATTTTGTGTTGAAAGCCAGACATGGTGTCCTGGGTAAAAGAACTGAGGTAAGTAGGCCTGTAGTGATGTGGTGGTAAGGGGCACCCCCTCAGTTTTTAGTGAGCCTATGCCCTTGGGCTGTGAACTTCACAAGTGCTTCTCCCCATGCCCCCGGCCCCTTGGGTGGTATAGGATGGCTCCAGTGGGCTGGAGTTGGGTATTTCTCTTCCTCCAGGTCAGTTGGGCTGGGATAAAACTCCAGGGGGTTAGGCTCTGGTTTCCTAAT